CGCGTAAAGGAGAGAAGAGGAGAGAGCATCGAGCAAGGTCACGAGGATGACTCTCGATCGGATCTCGAGGGCAGGCAGGCGTAACAAGAGTACCGTGCGTGCCTCAAAGTACGGGCAATTACCGAGCTGCCTGCTTCCACGGTGCATGCAAGCCGCGCAAATACGGTAAACAGATGTAATAACCGTGCGAGGGTAGAATTTTAATCTCTTCCGCCAGGCACGTCGAGAATCTTTTGCCCCAATTGCAACATTTTCTCAGTTTTAAGTATATTTAAGTAAACCAAAATAGGCAAAACAAATGATAAATTTGTTGCTTCTCAATAATTTCTATCCAGTGATATCATACCGACGAGTTCAAAAAGAAAGCGACAAATTATTGTATACGGTTCGGTCAATCAGTTGCCAAAGCAAGTGGTTAACGATACCTACAAGTAATGTCGTTTTTTTGACACTGCAGAGAATTTGATTTTATTTAAAAATTAACAGAGCTTTAATCTGTAATATAATTTAACAATAAACACACTAAATGTCACTATATTTAACTGGAATATAGGTTATATTAGGCATAACATAGGTTATGTTATGCCTAATATATATTATATATTATAGCATAACATGTTGTAAAACAAAATAGGCAAAACAAATAATAAATTTGTTACTTCTTAATAATTTCTATTCAGTGATATCGGTTCCGACGAGTTCGGAAGAAAAAGAAAGCGACAATTATTGTATACGGTTCGGTCACTCGTTATGGTCCGCGAATCAGTTGCCAGTGCAAGTCGTTTTCTGACATTGTAGAGAATTTTACTTTATTTAAAAGTTAATGCAGCTTTAATCTGTAATATAATTTAACAATAAACACACTAAATGTCAATGTATTTAACTGGAATATAGGTTATATTAGGCATAACGTAGGTTATGTTATAACATATATATTATATATTATAGCATAACATGTTGTAATAAGTAAAATTATGTATTTAAGTAAAACAAAATAGTCAAAACAAACAATAAATTTGTTACTTCTTAATAGTTTCTATCCAGTGATATTCGATTCCGACGAGCTCGAAAGGAAAAGAAAGCGGCTAATTATTGTATACGGTCGCTCGTTATGGTCCGCGGGGGTTGAAACGCTATCAGCCTTCCACACTAAACCGCGATTCCACGAAACACACTCGTAGATAAAACCCGTGGTTTCGCTGTTGGCGCACGACGCTACGCCGCTTCCTACATCGTTCTCGCCACGAATCGCAGACTCTCAGTGCCTAACCGAAATTGCTCTTAATTACCATTCTAAATTACGGCTCCGGCTGTACGCGATTAATTCGAACCGAGAAGGAACGTAAACGAAGAAGAACAAAGGGGGGAAAAAAGAGAGAAACAATCGGAGAATCGGCGAGGATAAAACGAACGAGAAGACGAACGCGCTCGGATCAATGGGGAGCTGGACCGATGGAAAAGAAAGAAAGAGCAAGGGCGCTCGAAGCTCAAAGAGGGGTTCCATGGTGTAACGGTCCATTATTTGTTTTAGATATTAATGTTCCCCGTGGACGATCAATAATTTACATCGGACGTAATCGCACGGTTGTGCATCCTCTATCTCTAGCGCGGAATCCGCTGAAAGAGAGATCGCGCACAACCGGACGGAGGAGGACAGAGGCAGCCAAAGAGAAAGGAGACCCGTGTAAACAATAAATCACGATAAATACGTTTGCCTGGGACCATTATAAAAGCTGGATGCGGGAGGAAGAGGAGGAGGAGGAGGAGGAGGAGAATCGGCGCGATCGGCGAACGAAGGTAAGGCCAGCCAACTGAAGCTGAAACTGAAGCTGAAATGAACTGGTGGTGAACCAAGAGAGAGAGAGAGAAAGAGAGAGTATATGCAGTCCCTCCTCGGAGCCATTCTCCGGTGCAGTCTCTCCTCCACGGCCACGCATTACGATCGCTTAAGTCTCGGCTCGACTATCGAGTGATCCATCGCCTACGAATTCGACGAAGCCTCCCGCCTACCCTCGGGACATTCTCGACTAATGAGCGTGTCTCGATCCGTGAACCACTAACCTCTCTCTCTCTCTCTCTCTATCTCTTCGTTACCATCTCTGCCTCCTTCGCTCTTCTTTTTTCCCCCTCTTGTTCCTCTTCTTGTTTCTTTTTTTCATTTTTTTACTTTCTCCTTTTGCTTTACTCTTTTCTCGGTTGTCTTGTCCTCTTCGTCTTTTTCACTCGGTTCTAGCCATCCACGCTTCCAGGTGCGCTCCGTGTGTTTCCGTTTCAAGCAGGATTCCAATTAAAAGGCCGAACAAGCCCGTGCCTCTATTCCGTTCGTCCGGCCGAGGAGACGGCAGGTGAACAAGCGGCAAAATCGTCGAGAGGAGCAGAAATTCCTCTGTAACAGGGTCCCGCGTTCCACTTTTCCGCGTTCCCCGGCTCTCGAAAGTTTTCGGGGTCAGCGGTTATTATTCCTCTACCGCGGTCACATCTTCCCGCGAGCCTCGATTTATTAATCTGTTCTCACGTATTATTTAGTATTCGCGTGCATATTTTCAGAACGCGTGGACACGAGAAAAAGGCGAACAGGATTCTCGAGCGGTGCCCGACCCTTCGAAAAACGAGCGCCCGTATTGGTCAGAGAATTTCGAAGCTCATGTTACGCAATCTTTCGTAATAAAATTTCGTAAATATTTCTTAGCAATATCGAAGCGGATTCGTAGACATTCAATTGGGATTTGCAGCACGAACAATTCTAACTCTCTTAACCCCTTGCAACTGATTCACGAACCATAACGAGTGACCAAACCGTGTACAACGATTCGTCGCTTTCTGTTTAAACTCGAGGCTGGAGCAATATCACGGGATAGAAATGACTGAGAAGTAATAAATTTATTATTTATTTCGCTGGGTTATATTTAAATGTGTTATACTTAAAACTGAGAGAGTATTGCAATTTTGGAGCAAAATGTTCTCAACGTTCTTCTCTCAATGAATCCGCTGATCAATCCAAAAATCCAGTCCCATGTGTGCATTTGTTCGCAAACGCTCGAAGCTCTCGAGCCGCTTCTATAAATACTCCCGAGGCGGAGTTCTCGATCGAGAGGAGATCCATCGGTTCCCATTGGATCGCGAGGAGGATCGCGCAAACAGGATGTCGGCGGTAGACGTGCAACAGTTACCAGATAGGCGGGAAAGCGTGGTACTTCCAGCGCATTTCTGAGGATCTGTGCGCGCTCGCCTATGCCACCGATGCGTGGCTCTGTGCGTAGACGGAGCGAAAGAGAGTGAAGGAAGAGAGAACGGGCAGGAGAGCGGGCAAGGTAGATACCGGGCCCCGCGGGGGGCTCATAATTGCCGACCCTGAAGATCGCCCGACCCCATGGGGCCCTCCTCTGTTTGTTTTATTCCCTAGTTATACAAACGCGAGATCTACGACCGATATATGATAATCGGCCGCTAGCTCTCTCCAAGGTCCGCTCTCTCGTTTCTCTTATCTCTCTCTCTCTTTGTCTGCCTCTTTTTCTTACCTTTTATCCGCCGTTCTACTTGTTCCTCTCTTTTTTTTCTCTGTCGTTCGATTTTTTTATCCGCTTTTGATATTTCCTCGGCGGGTCGGATGACCACCGTTGCGAAACGTGACTACATTATGCACGCTGATAGACAGGAACACGTCCGAACCAATTCCAACTATGGCCGCGGCCAGCATCGTGGAAGCTTTCGCCACGTCTCATCATTTACGATTCACATTTATTCAAATTCTTTCTGGCTCCGGCCAGTGATTAATACTGTTTGTCGCGCGTTTCGAGCGGTCTGCTCCGCCTGTTTCATTCCGTGCGTGGTCAGACTTTTTATTTGACAAGCGATACTCCTCGAAGAATTCTTGTGGAATCGATGATGTAATTGTGTGGTAAGTTTGAACGAAATGGCTCGAACCTTTGACGAATGGAATGGTTCTTATTGAGACGATTTATTTCAATATGGAATGATCAAGCGTTCACCTCGTTCACGTGTGGACGAGGGAAACCATATGAAAGTTATGTATCTGCATCTCAATTATATTTTTGTAAAATTGCATGGAAAATTTGAGTAAATTCGACAATCTTTGACGAATGGAATATTGAAACGATTTGTTTCAATACTGAATTGACAAATGTTCACTTTACGTATAGAACGAGTTAACAAAAACCCCCATCTCAATTGTGTATTTAGAAATTGTGTATGGAAAGTGATTCGAATCTCTCCGACGAATGGAGCATTTTTATCGAGACGATTAATTTTCGTACGAGTAGCGCGGCCAGATATTTAGTTCGCGTATAGACGAGCTAATGGAAACCTCTTGTAGATTGTGTTTCGTTAAATGTATAAAACTGGTTGCAGAACGATTCCCTTTGGCGAGCAATGCGGGTCTCTGCGTGGTCCTAGATTTCAGAGCGTGCGAGGGGCGAAGGAGGGGGGGGAGGGGGGGGGGGAGAACGTTATCTGCGTGGCCGGTAACCATATTTCAAGGAGATAGCTTCGCAAATGCAACAAGTTGCTCCAAATGCATGGTAATAGACGGTATCTTAACGCGGGGCAACTGACACAGTGATTAATCATTAAGATTGCGTGTGACAAGTGATAAATGTAAGCAAGGTAATATAGTCGCAATATGTGTCGCGGAAAGTGACGAGCGTAATGGCTGGTTCGAATTCTAGATTATATTTCGCAATCGATGGAAACGATAGGGAAAACCGAACGATCGGCTAAAGAATCAATCACATTTTTCGTTTCTTTTCAAGTTACATTAAACATTCGCATTTCTCAACCGGGCGAACGTGGCGAATTAATTGACGTGACACGGCGATTTTGCACGGTTCAAGTCAGCCGACTATTTTCTCACGCGAAGTCCAGACGCGAAAGATCAATTCCAATTTGCCTCGAACGAATATCGTCGGGTATCGTTGCGTTCACGTTCGAAGTCGTCAACCTTTCCTTCGTGCGAGCATGTTCGATAGGGAAGAGGTACTTACCTCGCTGTCGATCTTCTTGAACTCCGGGTCGTCCTCGTCCACCTCGAAGTACAGTTCCGTAGACGTGACGGAGATAATACCGGGAGCCACGATACCGGGCGCGATCAATTTCCCTTTCGTGCTGATGTTCACCGGGCCTGACAGAACACAATCTCGCCGTTAGTCAGCATACGTATGTACGTACGTGAAACATAGAATCGACAAAACGATAGGGCACGTCTCGTCAAGAAACGAAAATGAAACGAAATGAATGATCTCACCTGTAAGATCGTTGTCGAGGTCTCTGTCGTCCGACAACAGCTCGCTGTCGTCCATCAGATCCGCCGACTGCAATTGCTGCTGATGTGCACGCGAGGCTGCGAGATGCGCGTGAAACTCTTCACGCGCTTGCAGAATCGCATCCTCGGGTGCACCGTGCTCGAGGGCCGCCTTCAGTGTAGCTTCGGGATGGCTCGAGCCTAGTGGATTGTGCACGAAACGCTTGCGTCTACGTGCATCATCCTCCCAAGCATCTAGCTTCCAGTATTCGGCCAACCTGTATTCAACGGGATTTTCTATTTCTTTTCTTCCTCTTCTTTTTTTTTTCTTTTTTACCGAAGTCTACCGGTACTTCGATTTTTCCTTTGGAAAGAAGAAAAAGCACGACTGACTCACTTTGCAGCCATTGGATCCATGTATCCCCAAGCGCCGTGTTTATTCGACAGGATGTTACGGACCTTCTCCAACAATCTGCTGGCAATGACATTGTCCCGTCTGCGCGCGGCCGTGATCAAATGGTCGCACATTCGTTCCTCCTCCCGTCGGTCCAGCAACGTTTGCGCGCACTGCGACTGAGCCAAGAATTTCACAATCATTTGTCACACAAAAATCACCAATCGGAGGAAGACATAATTAGGCGAGATATATACGTAAAAGACAGATACCTCGAAGTCGGCATGCTTCAGCACGTCGTCCGCTCTCATACGATTCAGGATAAACTCAGCCTCGTTCGCCACTCGCACAATATGATCCTTCATTGCGTGAGACAGCAACCTGCACAGCGTACGGGGTACTTTTACGATTCGCTTGCTTACGAGAACCGGCGGCCCCGGTTTACTGCACCGCGCTATAACTCTGTCGTTTTAACGAGCCCCTCTTACCTTCCCTCGTTAATGAGCTCGATGAAAGCCAGGCCCGCGTGTTTCTGCAACGAGTTCTGCCACTCTTGCGAACAAAGTAACATCACCAGCTCCACCACGGAATTGCTGTTTTTGAACGTGGTCAGACCTAACGGTGCAACAGAAGGATCGAATCGTTAAAAGAAAAAAGAAAAAAAAGAAATCTCTCAGAACGTTCGCTTTGAAATTCAATTGAAAAATGCAGGAGAGAAGAGGCACGGCTGGAAGGAAGAAATTGGAAAGGCATAGACGGCTGGCTAATTTATAAACGACGACGAACGACGAACGTGTATCGCTCGTCGAGCCGGTGTTCGAAAATAAAAGTGCATCGATACGTGGCACGGCCGTCATCCGCGACGTTCCATGAATACAAAATCCACGCGAAGTGACCACGGACCCCGGCCGCGTCGCGTGAATACAAATGTCCAACGATTATCCCGGAATACGCGTTCCATCTTTCTAAGCGGAACCATAAACTCGCTAATTTGAATACATTCGTCGCGATGAATCAAGACAGATGGAGTGAAATATATACACGCGCCGAGTGTTGATAAAAAGCGACCTAGGAATCTGCCAATGAGGAATTCCCCTTTTCTTTTATAAATTTTTCATTAATCGTTTTCGCAAAGGTTTCTGTTTCTCTTCTTCTGAACAGCGAATAAAATCTTCGAGAAACGAGAGAAAGTTGTTGTCATTCTATGCATTTCGTTTTTTTAATCCACGTTTCTTCGACACTTTGTACTAAGTACAATGTAATATAATATATACAACGAGGAGTATAATTGTATCAATAACGATGAAACGTTCCCGATAATTCGAGTTACAAAAAATATATAAAATATATGTAAGAAAGAATATGAACTTCGTAGAAAATAATCACGTGACTTGATCTCGTTTTAAAACTTAAGACACAATTTTCAGTTAGTTCCTACCGAAGATGATTTTACATTGTTTTGAAGATTGAAATCTCCTCTTTACAACCTACTGTACGATTTCTTTCCACTGTTCATTTCGTTAAACTTTGAGCATTATGATTAAATGTTAAGATTCCTTGAATTTCTGTCGTTTAATCCTAATATTCAAAGTTGAATACTACAAAAAGAAATCACAATGCAAGGTTTAAAAGACTTTTCACTCTTCGAGATGATAGTGGATCTAGCGACGAACCAAATTTTCAATGTTTCTAGAGGTTTCTGAATTTTTTTTCGAAAAGAAAAATCCTCACTTTGCCACTCATTACATAATGCAAAATCACTTAAAAGCAAAGAAAAAGAAATTCGCGACTTTAAGAAAAAAGGTCGTATAATTTCCTTTTACAACAGTTCATCGTTACTGATTTGATCATGCTCTTCGTTCTACTTCCAGACAAAACTTGACACAATAATTATCAAACAAAGATAGTCTACGTACTGCTACGTTTGAAACGAAGAGCTAAAAAAACAACTACGCAAACAACACAAATAAAATTCACGACAAAATACTAGAAGACCAAGCACTAGAGAAAAGGAAACATGTACTCACACGAAGCAATACAGGTAAATAGATAAATCGATGAGATTTGCACTTACGAGTCCTACCTTTGCCTTCCATCAGCAATTCTTGCCCGTGGGAGCCGACGAGGGTTTTCGAGAGGAACGGCGCGAAGTCCACCATGATTTCCCGCAGAAGCGGGCAAACGGAACCCAGTGCCATTTCGAGTTTTTGCGTGAGCGACGCCTCGCGGGAGGGCGTCGGAACTGGAAGATGATCGACCAGCCCCTTGATCGGTAACTCGTCCGGCCGCGGCGATGCGGAAGTCATCACCAGCCGATCGGACACGCGAACCACCGAGATCTCCCCGGACGGTTTCTCACCGCGTTCCGCGTTGCCCATCATCCCCTGCTCCAGAACGTTCCCCTCGCTATCTTGAATCTCGCCTGTACGCCAGAAAACGGAAAAAGATTAGATACTTTCACTTGCCACTTCTACTCTTTAACCCTTGCATAACGTTTGTGTGAAGTTCTTTCTGTGTGAGTTATACAAAGTTAGCCTGTACGATTTGGCTACGATTTGGCGATAAAAAAGTGGGATCATATTACGTTTCCAATAAGAAGTCAAATCGGTGACGAACACACGTACGAGTCAGTTCTGAAGAAGCAATCAAAGCGGTCGGTAGTGTATTTCAGTGCATTGTTTTCAGTATTTTTCATTAGTAGTATTCTTTAGTTTTGTAATATTTTTCACTTTTTGTGTTCTTTAGTTTCTTTTAGTATCTTTCAGTCTTTTAGCGTTTTCCATTTTTTGAAACTTAAAACTTCCAAACTTAAAACGATCGAATAACAATAAAAACAGCGCTAAATGTAGCAATTGTCACAATTTTGTTTGTAGCAAATATAAATGCAATCTAATGTATTAGATACAACGAAAATAAATAATATTATTTATAGGTAATAAAAGTAGCAAAAGGTGTTTTTAATTTCTTACTATCCTATTGTTATAACAATCATAATAAAAACATAAAAAAAGAAATAAAATTGAACCAGCTACTAACAATTACATATAGGCGTACATCGTTGCATTGGAACGTGTATGTATATCAGTAGCTTGAGTCTCGCGAGACCCTGCCACCGGCCAGTACGGCCCGTCATGCAAAGGTTAATTTTCTGTCGAAACGACCGCTTTAAGGCTCCAGGACTTCGTGCCACGTTTTCTCCGCCGAAATTATATTCGTCGCATCATTAGAGCAAGTCAGTGTTAACATTTTAAAATCGAAACAAGAGGGGATTTTGTCCTTTATTGAAAAATAAAATTTCAAATCATTTCATTGTAGATTGTCTCAATTGCAGTTGTCTCAATTACAGTAATAGTATCAATGTTTTCTTTTTTCTTTTTGTTAAAAAGTAAAAATAAATAATTTTAATTGATATTATCTTTATTTAATATCAATATAATAATAACTTTAATTAAATAAATATATTTAATTCATAAAATGTGATTTATTTACATCTTAAATGATATTGCCCAAACTATTGTAGAAAAATTTGAAGAAACAATAATTCTGCAATATTTTCTCAAAAAAAAGTTGTCGAACTTATCCCGGACTTATGTATGTACGTGTTTTAATGCAACTGACTACACGTCGCGCACACGAAAACAAAACACGTTGACAATACGACACACCGTTTAGTGTATGTTTGACTGCACGACAGTGAGGAGTATTGAAGTGATTCTTACTGAATACGTGGTGCGTAAAACGCTCGCAGTCCTTGGCTTAAACAAATTCTCTCCCTTGAAATTTAGTCGCAATGTACGATGTATCAAAAAGTGCACCAGTTTCGTGGAATTCGAGATCGAGAGAAAATTCGAGGGAAAGGCCAGAATTGTTGTTAAGCACCTGCGCTGACCAACTGATTGCAGACCATAAAGAGTGACCAAATCGTACACGATAATTCGTCGCTTTCTTTTTGAACTCGTCGGTATGATATCACTGGATAGAAATTATTCAGAAGTAATAAATTTATTATTCGTTTCGCCTATTTTGTTTTACTTAAATATACTTAAAACTGAGAAAATATTGCAATTTTGGAGGCAAAAAATTCTCGACGTGCGTGGCACATTTTTTCGGCGCAAAAGGATAACCACTTGCGCTGGCAACTGATTGCGGATCATAACGAGTGACCAAACTGTATACGATAATTCGTCGGTGTCATATCACTGGATAGAAATTATTGAGAAGTAATAAATTTATTATTTATTTTGCCTGGGTATACTTAAATACTTAAACAGTATACTTAAATATACTTAAAACTGAGAAAATATTGCAATTTTGGGGGCAAAAAATTCTCGACGTGCGTGGTACGTCATTCCAGCGCAAGAGGTTAACCACTTGCGCTGGCAACTGATTGCGGACCATAACGAGTGACCAAACTGTACACGACAATTCGTCGCTTTCTTTTTGAACTAGTCGGTGTGATATCACTGGATAGAAATTGTTAAAAAGTAACAAATTTATCATTTGTTTTGCCTATTTTGATTTACTGAAATATACTATAAAACTGAGAAAATATTACAATTTTGGAAGAAAAAAATTCGCGCAAGAGGTTGAAACTGTTAGAAAGGGAAAGAGTTGACGACGGTGTCGCTGGTTTGGAATTTGAAACCAAATCTTCTCTGAGAGAAACTGCCGCTAGGCAGGTAGTTTACAGATTCTTATCTCCGGTCATAACAGCCGATGGTTTATTTCGGTGAGGTATATAACAGGCTGACGAAACAAAAGAGTACAAATGGAAACCTGCAAATCTTTTCAAACTTCTCTTTTTTCTTTTCAAACTCACCGCGAGAGTGCGCTATATTGTGAATATTTCGCGGATCCTCCCTCTGATTTGTCATTGGGATCGTGTCACCGTCCTCGTTCAGGTTCACGTCGGTCCAAGCTTCCTCGGAGGAGTTGAGTTTGTTCTCGTTGTCCGTGGCAACCTCGGAAGGGCTGGCATCCGCGGTGATGTTGCTGCGATGCACCGTCTCTTCGCTCGAGTCGTTGCTCTAAAAGTGACCGAATTAACATTTCGACATGCTCACAGACACGCTCGTTGCAAATTTATACACATTGAAAAAAAAAAAAGACAAGAATTGACAAGTATAGAGGTCATCGATTTTGGCACGACACGTGGGTACACGTTCGATTTCAAGAAGAAAATTTCGTTTGAAGTTCTCATTGTTGATATGTATGTTCGTTAATAGGTATCACATCGTCAGAGGAATGTATTCAACAACATTACTTTCAATCGAGATAACTTTAAACAACACTACTTGGCTACTTGGCTACTTGGATACTGAATACTGTATTGTCTCTAACGAAAGCCTAGCTTCCGCTGTTACACACTATTTACTCGTAAAATATCTATGATATATAAATATAATGTAACAAGTCCGAGGAACGTTTACTTGAGAAGAGAGTCAAACGATATTTATTCTGCTTAATGACCAAGTCTCGCGTGCTATGCATTTACTCGACGACATGCAGTTAATCGTAACAACACTAATACGCAATCATCTAATATACGTGTAAACAAGGAGTATAAAAGCTTCCTAAATTTCCAAGCTACGACACGGCGAACGTAATATCGTAATCGCCACGCTCGATTACGTCTATGAAACCGTACGTAATCACAAAATTCAGCGATGAACATAACGCATGACAGTGATTTAAAATTGATATAACTTTGTAAAAAATTCATTTGGTCCCATTATTAAAATGTGAAGCTTCTACTTTGAACATAATTTTATGTAACGTAGCGGGTGGATAATGTTGAAAAAATTGTCAAAATTTAAACGAGTGTGAAACTATTGAAAAATTTCTGACAATTTTATGATCAAATGTATTATAGTTTTAAAGATTGAAATTTTCTCTTAAAATTCGCTATACGGTTATTTTTAAACATCATTTTGTCAAGCATTAAGATCATGAAATGTTAGGATTCCTTGAATTTTGATCACTTGACCCTAATGTTCAACGTTCAATAAAATGCTGAAAAGAATCTGTGCAACAAGGGCAAACTTTAACCTCTTAAATGACTATAATAATACAGTTACGAAACAAAATTTTTCAGTGATTTTACACACGTTTGAATTTTTACAATTTTTTCAAGGAAAAAAATATCCTCACTTTCCCACTACACGATGTTATGTCATCTCTAAAAGAAACAAATTCACGATTGTCAAAATAAAAGCTTCGCGCTTTAAAACGAAATCAAATACATCGTTGTATGATTTTTTTTCTTTTAACAAAGCAATATCAGTTTAAATTATCGACAATTCACTGTCACTAACTATGGTTATGTTCTTTACTACACATATCGAAAGATTATACGTGTTTAAACCATCGTACAGAAACACGAATCGATTTTAATCACGCACTGTTTTCTATAGTTATTGCGTATCCGTCGGGCATTCGTTTTGCGTCTTCTTACTCTCGACAGATGGAAAAAGAAAAAAAAATAAATAAATAAATAAAGAAGAAATACCATCGATCGTGTAGAATAATCGAAAAACAATTTCTTTTCTTCTTTCGAATCTTCGTCTAAAATAGAAACGATGGATAATCGTCGAGACGATGTTTAGCTCGTTTTAGTTGATCGCAAAAGTTCCCTGCTTCGTTTTCGAATCATTCGGTTCCGTGTCCGTACTCAAAGTCAAACTTTTACCTGGACATTTCGTGGCAGTGGTTCAGTCGGTCTTGTCGAAGAGCCAAGCGTTGGTTCTGACGAGGTGTAATCCTCGAGAATTGTCCGTGGCCGAGGTACACCACTGTGACCTCCCTTCAGAACCAGTAGTTAGTACGCATAGCAATGCAAGCAGAGGAAGTTAACGTTGAGAAAAATTAAAGAGTAAAAAAAAGAGTGTCGCATGCTCGACAATAATTACAGAGATCGTAGAGAGGTACAAGAATAGAGAAACTCGAGTCCTCAGGATAATTGTATGTACACGTTTCGAGCCGAGTTTTAAAACGATGGTAGTATTTTTTCACAGTTTTTTCAACGCAATCGCTGGAAAAAATTCCAAGTGTAAATCTCAAATTCCACGTGCGAGAACGAAACTATCCGTAGAGTCACTTAAGTACCATTGCCTCTCACTACGTAAGTGCAAAAGAACATCGTTCAATATCTTGCTAAAAGTGAAACACTACGTGCTGGATGGTGGCGTTTATGTTTTCTAATTTTTTATTTTAATCTCCTTTTTTTTTTATTTTTTGCAGATCGAAGAATTCACTACTCGGTATAATTAATTAAACTACTTCTAAGGAGAACTTTCAGAATCGAGAATCTGATGTGCCGATCAACTTTGCGTATTAAGGAAATAAGTATTGTCGACGTTTTTCACGTTTTCGTTAAAGATCTACGTTGTTCGTTGTTAAACTATTAGTACTCGGGATGCATGCAGTTTGTCATCATTGGATCAAAAATTCTTAAACAGAAAGAGAGAAAGAGAGAGAGAGAGAGAGACACGTAGAAGTTTGAGCTGTCAAATGTCTACGATAGAAAAGTCGAAAACGAAGGAACGAAATGCAAAGCGCATCACGTGGGCTTGGAGTGTGCCAATTCCATCAGTAACAGTAGATCGTGCGTGACAGGAAAGGTGCAAAAGAGAATCACGTCGCCATTAAAATATCAAATGTCGTTAAAAAAAAAAAAAGAAGAAGAAAAAATCGTAATGAAATATATATGTATATATCAAGGTCACGATTCCGTAACGATCATCACATCATTTGAAAAAAATTTCAATTCAATGAAACACACAACGAAATCACACGATCTCTATCTCTTCACAAAGGCATGCAGGTCTCAAGTAAGGTTGTCACAAATCTTCTCGAGCATCGATGGTTTCGTACGTATAAAATATACAATGTACATATACCGAGAAACGATCATGAATCAAGAAAGGTTTGGGTTCGCTATTCTCGTTTACTTTCATGTACAAACAGCACTGAGGAAAAATTAACAAAGTACTTTTGTTTTCTTGTTTTTATTTTTATTTTTTTTTATTTTTTTTACCTGAGAACAACGGATCAATTAATCCCGAGGTATGCATCTTTCGTACGGGTAGATCTTTTACGTAGCACGTTTTCGTTTTTTATTTTCACATCTTTTGTTTCAAACAGAGCAACTTATCTTATCGAATAGACAAGAGTAACGAAGATGTACTTCGTGGTTCACTTACCTTGGTCGACGGAGGCCCTGACGACGTGACGTCGTGATCCGCCAGGATCGACGAATTGTTCTCGTCGACAATTATCACCTCGTACTCGCCGTCGTCTTGAGAACCAGCTTGGCTCATTATACCTCCGCTTCCTGGGAACATATTTTACCATTCTCGATGACTCGTACTCGAAGGTATCGCGATAGTTGGTCTTGCAAAGCAGGCTGTCATGAACGACAGTGCGATCGACGATTCAATTGTGAATTTTAACTCGTGTTTATCACTGTGACAGATCATCTGTGTTTCATATTTCATACTGGGTGAATATCGTCGATCGCACTGTAATTAGAGGAGATGCATTTATAGTGCAGGAACTGAAACCGGAAAAAAGGAAAATATAATACAAAGCGTAATTGTTCAAACCGAAGCGTTCAAACTTGCGTTCAACTGCTCGAAGAAGAAGGGAATATTCTCTAGAATTGTGTTCAAACGCCACTTTATCCATTCCCTTTATCTTCAAGAAAGAAAAAAAAAAAAAAAAAAAACGTTTGATAATTGCAATAAACGCAAGAAAATTATCGCTAACATTTCAAATTTGTGACAGCAGCTAACTCAAAGAGATTCTTTTTATCGACATCGCAGCAATGTTTCCGAAAAGTATCGTTTTCATTCATCGAAACAACCCGAAAAACGTGCAACTGTCCACTACTGGACACAAAAGAAAACTCAATGACAACCGTCGTTCATCGGCAAGTTGATTTTTTTTTTTTTTCGTATGTTAGTAGGAAGAATAATCCTGCGTTCGGTGTGAATGGAACCCAACATTACGTGAATTTGCATCCGTGAGTTGCAATCAATCGTAACATGCAAACTTTCCGAGATTGCTCGCAAACCGCAAACTGGTGCAACTCTCATTCGCAGCTTGTGCTTCCAAGCTTTCGAACAACATTCGGGGCACTAACGTATCACTCGCAGTCGCAACTTCTGCAAACGAAATTACCAACAGGTTCCCAAATTCAAACTCCGTTTCGCAAAATAAAGAGAAAGAAAAGAAGAAAAAAAAACAAACAAACAATGGCAATTGAAAACTTCGAACCCAGTCAAACAACGTCAAACAAAAAGTGAGAAACGATGCTTGCACGCGCGTGCACACGCGTGCGTCCGAGTGTGAAAGTCAAGAGAGCTTCTGCAGGTTCGGTTCAAACTGGCTAGTGAACGGCAAACATGCAGACAGAGATGTGTCGACAATATCGATAGAACAGGACAGAGATAGAAAGAACAATCCGGGGAAGAAGAAACGAAATAAACGAAGGGACGAAACAGATCGGAGGGGTAGGTAATCGTAATAGTTGAAACAAAGAACTGATGCGCCGATAATTGATCGGTCGGCAAGTAAAGAAAGAAAAAGAAAAGAGAAAGTAAAAGACAAATCGAGCAGGCGATCAACGAAAACAAACTCGAGCATTCCGTGGAACAGAATCGTTCGGGCAATCGAGTTACCTTGCAGACCAACACCGGAGTTTCTATGACAGAGATTTCGGGGCTGATCGATATGCTTTTGAAGCGTATGATGGTGATTGTTGTTATTGTGGTGATGGTAATGATGATGACGATGATAGTTATGGTTACTCGGATGATGGTTGTAATGATTACTGTGGTGATTCGGGAGATAATAGTTGGAGGGGGGCTGGCGATTAGAGTGCCTGGCAGCCGGTAGCGGGTGCTGGTGGTGGTGCTGGTTCATGTGGTGGTTGGCATTGGCATTGGCATTCGCATTGGCGTTAGGGTGAGATCCCGGGAGGAACTGTGGGTACACGTGGTGAGACCACTGTGGAAACAGGGGCCGACCTCCTCCACCACCATTCCCATCTGCTGAGGAACCACATTTACCACGTTACCACGATTCAACACCCTATACACTATCTTTATTTCTGTCATGCCTTTGTTTTTTTCTCTTTTTTTTTTTTTTTTTTTTTTTTTTTTTTTTTTTTTTTTTTTTTTTTCTTTGTTTTGCCTCCTCGTTGCCATTTTCGATCCCGTATTTTCCGCCAGGGAGGATCGGTTTTGTTTCGTCGCCGTGCGACTTTAATTGTCAATTCACCCCGGCGTACCAGTTTTTCCCTCTCGTCCCCGCCCTCGCCACAGCTTCACGATGGATCTCCCCCGAATCCAGGAAAATGAAAATGCATTTCGCGCGTTTTGTATACGCGATAAGCGCGGATTTCGTTCCGCCGACAACGAGTTTCGTCGTTGACCTCGGACTCGTTTCTTTGCTGATCGCGCGGTTTTATTTGTTCTATCGACGTTCGCCAGTAGTCTCTCTTTCTTTCTCTCTCTCTCTGTTTTACTAGATTTACAACGATTTACGAAATTGTTTTGCAACAATTGTGGAAATTTCTTACGATGATTGCAGTGCAGAGGCGAATCACTTTTGTTTGATAGTAAAGAAAAAAAGTCACTTTTTTTTTTTTTTACTGCGAATTCGCAATTAGCGATTATTCAATTTAAAAAAGAAACAAACAGTGAAACTTACGAATCTCCGAAAGAATCGAAAGAAACTGCAAATTATGGGAGCGAATCGGATAAATTCTGTGCGTCATATCGCAAGAAGTCTCGAGATGTCGCGATAATGGATATGGGAGTATCGATTGTTGCTGGAACTCGCTTCGAATACTCGAATGACCTTACCTCAGCGACTGAGAAAAATATCGGTTTATTAATAGTAAACGATGTACAATTCGATCGAAGAACAAGAGCATATTGAACACGTGCATTATTGAAAAAAAGAAAAAAATTGTACAAGCTACACAAGTCGTCTTCTTCGAAATAAGTTCTTTCTCTAAGTTCAATTTTTCAAAAAAAAAAAAAAAAAAAAAAAAAAAAAGTTTCTTTTTCTTTCTATCTTTTTTTTTTTTCTTTTTAAAGAAACGAAAAGAACGAAAATAGAAATTCTCAAGCGCGACGGAGCAACCGAAAGCGATCAAGTAACAACGTTCCATTCTGTTGACACTAAAACTATCAAAGTGATCATTTTATAATTTTGTCGGATGTATTTTTTTGAACATTTAGATAATTTTTTCGCAAAAATTGTGTTACAAAGTTTCCCTGCTTTCTGGCTTTCGATGTCTCTGAGATAGAAATTTCATGCCTCTAATCAGGCCTCTAGTGTTAAGAGTCAGCTAAATCAAAGGACTCTGGCAATCTCTTCATCGCCAAGTACGTCAGGGAACATCGAGATGCCATCGAGGTGGCGTGCGGCACCCAGCGGGAAGCTAACGAGAAAATTATTGCGTTGAACCTCTCTCTCTCTCTCTCTCTCTCTTTCTCTCGATGGGTTTAATCGAAGATGTCGAAACCCCGTGTCGTAGTCGGTGGGGTAATGTGTTTAGCGGGTAAAGCCTCGATATTCGCAGCGAAGGATTTCGCAGTTACTTGGATTTGTATTGCGAGAACGGTGGCGGATCGGTGGTAAGTGGGATGGTAAGAGGATAGAAGAGGGTGGACGGGCCGTGTTAACCTAGTTTCTATCCGAGTGATCAATACAACCAGCGTTCCGTGTACCGCCGCAGCCACTTATTCATCTTGAAAGGTTCACGCGTTGTTTACCCTCTTCGGCTGGATAAATGTTATTCCGTTTATGCCCGGCGACTCGTAAGAACTACTATTCCGGTTCTTCTCATTGCTATTTTCGCTACTCCTATATATTCGTTGATCGTCTTTGCAAATATTGGATCGAGTAACAGGTTCATTCGCTTAATTCGAGTGTGTTGCAATAATTGTCTAATTGATAATGTAAAATTGTAAATATTGAGTAATTGAATGTTTTTAGTAAGATAGATATAGTTATATTATATTTATATTTATGTTATATTTTTATAATATATATTTATATTATATTTTTATTTATATTATATTTATATTATATTTTTATAATATATATTTATATTATATTTATATTATATTTTTATAATATATATTTATATTATATTTATATTATATTTATATTATATTTTTATAATATATATTTATATTATATTTATATTATATTTATATTATATTTATATTATATTTATATTATATATTTATAATTTATAATATATATTTATATTATATTTATATTATATTTTTATAATTTATAATATATATTTATATTATATTTTTATAATTTATAATATATATTTATATTATATTTTTATTTATATGGAATAATAGATAAATGAATTATTACTATTATTATTATTTGGATTTTGCATTCAGTTGAAAAGATAAAGTGTGTGAATAAATTTATTACTCGATTTAATAGATATGCGGTAGCATAGTTGCCCGAGTGGAATTACTTTTGAACTTTGCTAGGGTAGTTTGGCAAAGTATCAATTGATTGATTTTGCGTTACTTGAGTCAGCAGAGAGATAACAGAAGCATCGAGCGATAGAAAAATTTGGATATACTCGCTTACAAAATTTGGAAGAGAAAATTTACAAGTAGACTCGTAAAAACCAAGAGAAATTTATTTCTTATGCTTGACATTCCTGATAGCAAATTGTCGCACATGTACGGAAATATAGTTATATAAATCGTCGTATAAATTGGGATCATCAAGGCTCCGAATTGCTCCGAATTCCCATCTCATCTCGTCACTATTCAAACTCGGTTCTGTAACGTTAATCTCATTACGCGTGTACACGAGTAAGTAATAATTTTATCCGACGCGAGACGAACTTGCCAATTTATTCCATAAAATGTCGCAAGCGTTTTATTGACGTATCGCGATTCGCGCGATTCTGGCGAGAAGAATTTTTCGTGGTTCGATGCACAATCAGGCATTTAATATTAAAAAAAAAAGAAGAGCATCGTCATCGTGTTTCCGCGATGTTGGTATTTTAAAAGGCGAGAAAACGACAGTGATGCTCTGCGTATCGTCTAGGCGTGTCATTGAAAATTATTCCGCGAAAAGCAGGAAACGTTCGATTTGATAAAAAGAAAGAAAGAAAGAAAGAGGAGTAAGTAGGCAGCTGGTTCTGGGAGGTTTTGAACGGCCATTGAAAACGGAGGAAAACGACACGTCTGCGGCGCGTTTCTGCGATCTCAGCAACGCGAGCGAACCCCGCAGTAACAATAAAACGGTAATATTGTTTCCCTACGCGAGCGTATTTGCACGAGATGCACGCTCAAAACCGAATATACGTGGTGTGGACAAAAAAAGTTTTTCAATTATCGCTGTAGCTAATTTTCTCCAACTGGGCCTAACTCGCAGCTTTGTCTATGATACACGAGAGAGAACCTAACCTAAATTTAATCTAAACCTAACCTGCGTAAATAGACAGTTTTTACTTTATCTACTATTTTTTTTTTTTTTATAGATAACTAAGATAACCTAACTTTCTTTTTAGTTACACAACTTAATCTAAGTCACATGAACCTAAACCTAAATCTAACTTGAAGCTAAAACCTGCATAGATAGACAGTTTTTACTTTATCTACTATTTTTTTTATAGATACCTAAGCTAGGTTGGGTAACCTAACTTTCTTTTCAGTTAGCCAACCTAACCTAAATCACATGAACCTAAACCTAAATCTAACTTGAAGCTAAAACTTGCATAGATAGGCAGTTTTTACTTTATCTACCTTTTTTACGGATTGCTAAGCTAACCTACTTGGACTAACCTAACTTTCTTTTCAGTTACCTAAACTAACCTAAATCACCTGTACCTAAACTTAAATCTAATCTAAACCTAAAATCTGCATAGATAGACAGTTTTTATTTATACCTACTTTTTTTTATAGATTCCTAAGCTAACCTAGTTAAACTAACCTAACTTTCTTTTCAATTACCCAACCTAACCTAAATCACATGAACCTAAACCTAAAACCTGCATAAATAGGCAGTTTTTATTTTATCTACTTTTTTTTATAGATACCTAACCTAACCTAAATCTAAAATCTGCATAAATAGACAGTTTTTACTTTGTCTACTCTTTTTTACAGACACACCTAATTTAGCCTACTTAAACTAACCTAATTTTCTTTTCAATTACTTAATCTAACCTAAATCACACGAACCTAAACCTAAAACCTGCATAAATAGGTAGTTTTTACTTACTTTATCTACATTTATTTACATTAAATAGTAATACATAAAATTATACATAGTTACATTGAGGAAACTATCGCGTAGCATACTGCTATACAACATGATTTTTGAACTGTTTTAGTACTACGCAACGCGACCGCGCGCTGTTCAAATTTCGCGTCGAATAGCGCCACGGCGTTCGGTCAATTTACAATCGCGCCCGATTTCGATTATAGCGAGTCATATTGAAGCTTCCTCTCCTAATTATTTTCTCTTCAATGAAACCTAATCCAATAACAGGTGCATAAATAGGCAAAATTTTTACAATACAGCGCAGCTTGCTTGACATTTCTCGCAGTTACGCTGTCCAACGCACTCGTTTTCTAAATAGCCAGTGGCATTAAAAAAAACCTGGCAAAGGCAAGGACTCGTGCCCTCTCACAGTCGCAGTCACAGCCAGTCTCGATTCTCGTTCGCAGTAATCTCAAGCGAAGGGCACGCCGCGCCGCGACGACAAGCGTGATAATCGCGCGGCAGAGAATTGCTCTTTCGGTTTGCTAAGCCAGATAATTAATTAACGTGATTGACAGAACGATGTTGCAACGTATCGATACCACGCGCTGACAACTGGTGGTGGAAGTTTCTCTCGCGCTACGGGGGCGAACAGGGGCCTTGGATAAGACACTCGCATATTTCGCCGTCGAGCGTGTCGTCGCGCGCGCGTAATTCGATTAGAACGCGCGTCGTGTCGCTGTTAAGCGGTCGAGGAACGACGGCGTGAAAAAGAAAAAAGAAAAAAAAGGTCCGCTAACAAGTCCGCGACCA